TTTCTTCAATTGAACTGTAACTATGCGTTCACACCAACCCGGTCTCATTCCCAAATCGTCATATAAACTGACGTTTTGGGACGTCTTTTGACCATACGTCAATATTCGCCTTTTTAGGGCCCCCTTTAAACGTCGGTAGATGAGGTTATGGGATCCTAACTCTACCCCATACCTAAAACTTAACCCTAAACCTAACCCGTCACCTAACTGACGTTAAAGGTAAAGCGTCAGTTGTTATGACGGCCCGGGATCGCCATCTACCGACGTTTAAGGGGGCCCTAAAAAGGCGGATATTGACGTATGGTCAAAATACGTCCCAAAACGTCAGTTATATGACGATTTGGGATGAGACTGTGTTATTCACACCGGACGCAAATAGCGCATCAAATTTGCGTCTAGTTTGACGATTGACCACTTTGTGTTAATTTGCGCGTCATGAATGAAACTGACGCACTTAAAATTCACTTCAAACTATTGTTTTACGCGCGGCAGTTTCATTCATGAATCGAAACCCGTTGGCGGCCATTTTTATGTTGATCGAGGATTCGTATTTGCTCTGGAGAGCAGACCCAGCAAACAAATTTAGGTTCTGAAAACGTTAGTTTTTGGTTCCCAGAACGTTCCTAGTACTTTCCCTTTACGTTAAAAAAAAATGGAACCTAAAAAAAGCTACATGGAACGTTCCTATAACGTTCTTGTTTTGTTCCCCCCCCAAAAAATAACCTCATGGGACCATTCAGGAATGTTAGGGGAACGTTCTGTGTTTGCTGGGGAAGAGCGGCGTGGGGATCATTGTCACCGTATTTGTGTCCACCGGACCCTTCAGAGGTGAACCGTTTGCATAGAGCCAGCTTTCCAAAAGTTATTAATCTGTCCTGTGATTTTTTTTCTCTCTCATGTCCAGACACAAACTTATGCTTATGTTGGTTGTTTTTACATCATAATAATATTTAATATAATCTAGATATGGAATGAATAACATTCAAAACAAAATGAACATGTCTCGTATATTGAAATAAAGTTTTAAGAGATAAAATATTTGCTTTGTTGTGCATTAGAACCACACCAGGCATTTAGTCAGATTATAAAATAATTTATTGAAGCATCCAGATCCTTCACCACATGAGCAAGCTGCAGGCTCCTGATTGGTTAACGTGGCGCGAATTGACGGCAAAGTTCAGATTTTTCAACTCGGGTGGCAGACGCAAATTCGCATCAAACGCGTGAACGCACATATAGCATTTGCGCGCCAGACGCTCAATTCGCGCCATTCGCGAGAACTTGACGCGCGAATTAGCCGTATTCGAATCTACCCGCCACAGGATTTTTTTTTTTTTTACGTGCGTAACGCGTCTTTGCATTGACTTAACATTGAAATCATTCCTGCCTGATGCGCTATTCACGTCCAGTGTAAACACACCATAAAAAGAAGGTATCATATTTAAAAAGTTAAAAAAAAGTCATAGTAACTGTTACACAAATCATAAATATCAGAAAAAAAGCATCCTGCTCCCACAAATTGTAAACAAAGTAATGTGCTAAATAAAACAATTATAGGAATGCTGGACAACTATATAAATGTAATACCTCATTAGTCTTATTACTTATTACTCTAAAAAAAAGTGTTTCTCAGCATTTCTTTCAGCTGCTGATGTTGACTGTAAGCACATCGCTGCTGTCTTCAAGGCTCGAGGGTCTCGAGAGCGTCTGTAAACTCCAAACAGCTCTCGTAAACACACACGCTCCCTTTACAACAGCAGCGGAGCGGCTGCACGTTTGACCTGCGGCTGCGCCGAATTATCAAGAGCTCTCTCTGGATGAAGAAATCACTCGCTCCACGTCAGCTTTTCCAAGGTCTTTATTGAGTGCATTTCAGTACAATAGTTCTCAGAAAGTTACAGTTTCAAACTCTGACATACTCATCACAAGAAACGAGTGTTAACTATACAGTCTCGGTGAGGTGGGAGGGCTTTCCTTCATTCCGTATCTACAAAACAGTGTGAGCTAGTATCCATGCCATGCTAGTAGTATCCACAGTCTCTCGAACCCTTTGACACTTTGATTCTCGGTTGCCAAAAGTAATGCTCCATCACTTTAACATGAAAGTGTCGTTTGAAGCCCGAAAAAACAACAACAACACAAGGCCCGTTCCTACAGGCAGTGCCGGGCGACGCTTTTGTTTGTTCCAAACTTGCTTTTTGTTTGTGCTTGTGAAGTCTGAGCCGTGCTGGTGAACACATGCACCGCTCAGACTTCAGCTGGCACAGTAACAGCATCAACGCTGATCCGCTGCCAAACGCACACCAGACTCCACAAAGTGTCGACACTCCAGGCAAAAGAGCGATAAAATTAGACTCAATTCATTTCCGTTCATCCTCTCACTCCCTGCATGTTCCCTCAAACCTCCGAAAGGAGGTGGAAGAGGATGATACCCTTGCAAGAGATGAAGACCACCCTCAATTTTGAGTTTTTGGACATGTGCAAAAAGAGAGTTCTAAATGTGAAAAAAGAGACACATGAAAAAAAGGACATTCACATTACAAACGATAGCGTACATATTCAAATATAAATCATATATTACATCTGTATTGGTTCTACATGAGCGATAGATGAACGTGATTTCTTGAATCAACAACTTTGTTGAACCTGGAACAACATTCCAATCAACCAATCAGATTTGAGGGACAAGTTTACAGTTTATGTCAAGTTTAGTTTTACAACCAGGGTTAGGTGTTTCTACATCAGTGTTATTCACAGAGCGTTTCTTATGTGTATGGTTAGGTTTAGGGATAGGGTTAGGATTACATTTTCAGACTGAAATGTTGTTCCAGGTACAACAAAATACTAAATACTAAAATTACTAAATCCCAGGACCATGTGCGATGCTATGAAGCTTTCTATGAAGCACTGCCATGTGTTTGACAGTATTAATATGTAGTGATAGATGGATATATTGGCCACGCCAATTATTTGACAACTGTGTGATATCTGCAACTGGAAGATTTTCACAGGAAGTTTGAGGACAGTAAGATTACTATTATTTTTTCATGTTTTAATGGCAAAGCTATTATTCCAGTCTTCAGTGTCACCTTTAAATATGCTGATTTGCTATTCAGCATTTTACACCACTAATTATTATCAATGTTGGAGACAGTTGTGCTGCTTAATATTTCGATTTGATGAATAGAAGGTTAAAAAGAACAGCGTTTATTTGAAATATATATTTAAACAAGTCTTTACTTCCACATTTTATCAATTTAAAATGATTACTTTCTTTGTGACCCCAAACCTTTGAACGGTAGCAAATATGGAGGGGGCGGCACAGTGGCTCAGTGGGTTGGACTGTCGCCTTACAGCCCAAACAATACAAAAACATGCTTAAGAGGCTAAATTGTCTGTAGGTGTGAATGTGTGTGCGTACCAAGCCATGAATTGGGGAAAGTTGGGAAAAGCCCTGGCAACCTACCCTGGAAAGAAAAGTCAAGAAAATTCATGGACAGTCTCTCATGTATGACGAGAGATGGCCATAGAATCACCAAGAGTCAGACATCGATAGATAGAAGGAGGAGATGCCATTATTTAGGTTTTTTTCAAAGCTTATTGAAGGGTATTATTAATTGGGGGAAAAAATCTAGATATTGTCATCTCCCATTAAAAAAACATAACATTTGTCAACCACTGTAATTCTATATGCCTCCCTCAAAAAGACACAACATGAAATGCCATTTGCAACCCAATAAGCAGTATTTATAAGTGAAACAGGGTTTTCAAAAATAAGGATGACAGCACAATTGGAGTGTGAAAAGAACTGAGAATAAATCAGGTGGTTGGAGGAGAGAAGTTGAAAGGAACATGTCATTAAAAAGAAAATAGGGTCAGTTTTAATTTCATGCTTACTTAAAACTCTAATCTCTAAGGTCTGTCCCTTCCTTTGTCATCTTTCTTAGTTTTTTATTCCCCATTTCCCATTCTGGACTCTCTACCGTCTTTCTCTCTCATTTTGTCTTTCATTCTCCGACTGACTCCAGATCATTCATCACTCTCCTCAGCCTGTGTGTATCCCAGCATGCTCCACCCTCCCCAACGAGCGCAAGTCAGCCATTTTTCAGCTGGGCCATACAGCGGGACGCCGGACAGCTTGGTTACGCCCCGCCGCGAACGAGCTGGACGCGGGCCATGGTGAGGATACTTTGTGATCATTAATTGAGCTGCCTCTGGTCCTTTACAGAGGGGAAGACGTCTTCATAGTGCGCTAACGTTTTTATAAGAGCCAAACACCATCGCTACTACCGTCGTATTAAGGAACAGATTCGCTTTCTTCAATGTAATACAATGAAAGAGAGTATGTGTGTGTGTTTGCACAAAAGAATAAGCCTCTTGGCAGAAGCTGTACAAGTGTGTCATCCTTAACAAAAGAGGCAATACGCTCTTTGGTTGCCATGGTGAAATTCATTGTAGCCAATTAGGTGCAACACCTTGGGTATATCTGCGTGATGGATTGTGTGTGTGTGCTGCTTGTAGAGAACAACCATAAAGCATGTGTCTGGTTAACTTACAGGCAATGTAGCGGCTTATTCATTACACACACACACGCAAATGCTTCACAACAGGCAAATGAATGGTAGAGGTGCTAAGCTTTACAAACCTTACTGTTTCGAATTACACTTTAGGGCCTTTAATGCTAAACCTCATGAGAGCATGTGGAGGTGCTTTTAGTCATTATGACCCTAAAATATGGAACCTTTTACAAATTGCATTTATATGTATTCATTTGTAAGACACTTTCATCCAATGAGGATAAAAGCCAACTATATTTGCAGCACACACTGATTAGACAAGCTCCCAATTTGTCAAAAGGTTAAAACCCTGGTGAAGATATTTATTTTTATGTTGGCTTTTGGAGCGTTAAAGGTCTGCATTTAACATTTAAATGACAATTTTTTTTTCATGTATTGCTTTTTTGTTTTCTTAAACGAATAGTTTTCCTTTTTTTATTCATCCCATACTTTACTCACCCTCAAGCCATCCAAGGTGTATATGGCTTTTTTCTTTAAGCCGAACACAACAGTTAGATAAAGTAAGGCGTTTTAAGCTCATCCATTAATCATAAAATTTATCAATACGACTCCAGCGGGTTAAAAAAATGCATTCTGAAGTGAATCGGTGGATTTTTGAAAGAAAAATGTCCATATGCGCATTAGCGAGAGAGAATATAGAAAATACTGTATATTATTTCATATAATACTAGAAATATTACTATGAACTACTATGAATTAATAATGAGAAAATCTCTAAATATATCAACATTTACATTTTGCAACAGAACATTTGAATTATTAATAAAGAAATAGCCATTACTTTTTAAATACTTATATTATATCATTTTAAATATAAGTAAAACACCTGGAATTTTACTCATCTGGAGGCAGCTTTAAGGCGTTTACATTGATGATTTAACAATGGTATTGCCCACAAGCTTTAAAAATACTCAGTTTGAATGTAGATGTCTCTGCATATACTAATAATAAAAAGGTTGATCACCTTGCTATCACACTGATGCCTGTTGTCACTGTTCTTCATTATCATCCACACTAATGAACATGGTTAATTACAAGATCTGGCAGTGGTAATGAAATACTCTAAGAGCAGTTTGCCAGTTGTGAAAGAAAAATGTCCATACCCGCATTAACAAGAGAGTCCAGTTCTGGCTGAGGGGCGACCTCTGACCCGACACATGACATAAGCGTAGCGTCAGCTTAGCTGAGAATTGATGAATGTGGAAGCACAGTGGGTAGAACAAGACAAGCGAAACGAATTAGAAGTCTAAAATTGTCAGAGGATTTCGATATTAGAGAAGAGGAGCTATGTCCTACATCAGGTCAGAGGTCACCCTTCCGCTGGAACAAGCGTACTGGCCGTTGCCAGTGATTATAGTTTGAAATATGGATATTTTTCTTGCAAAAACCCATCACTTCGCTTCAGAAAGCATTTTCCACCACTGGAAATGGATTACTTTTATGATAGATGGGTTTGCTTTTTGGGGCTTAAAAAACAAGTGGACATTATTCAATGCCATTACAAAGTTGGGAAGAGCCAGGATAATATTTAATATAACTCTGTGTTCGAAAGAAGGAAGTCATATACACCTAGGATGTCTTAAAGGGTAACTTATGGGATAATTTTCATTTTGGGTGAACTATTCCTTTAAAATGATATTATAAAGTACATTTTATTTATAAAAAGGTTTTATACAAGTAAACTATTAGTAATATTATTTGTAACATTTAAAAAAAAAGTTCAATGCATTAACATTACTTCATACAATAAGTATGAACAATGATCAGCATTTTTCCTCTAGGTTAATTAATAAATACACTGGATCATTCATAATCCATGTTCATATTTGTTTATACAACTTGAAATGGTAAAATGTTTTAGCATTTATGAAATGTATATTAACCTAGATTAATAAATGCTTAAAAAATTCCTGTTGGTTGTTCAATAACTAATATTGACTTAATAGCATGACCTATAATAATAATTTTTCAATTATTATCATTATAAATCAATTGGCTGATGCTATTTCTCAATGGCAACCAAAAAAAGAACAGCCCAAAGCTGACAACAGTGTGTGTGTGTGTGTGTGTGTTACCCAGTGCTTCATTGACTGCTTAAGTAGAATGTGCTCAATGGGGTGGCGTTGGGCATCTGTTCATAAAGGGTCACACAGATGTTCAATCCAGACACACACACAAAATAAATGGAGAGCTGGTGACACGAAAGAACATTTACCGCATTTAGCAATGTCATCTGGAAACATCTGGAGCTGAGAGAGTGATTCGGCATGATAAAAGTGGTGAAGGGCAGCGGTTTCTTTTCATTTGCTCATCATGTAAACACTTGCTTGGAAACAGATTTGCGGTTTTAAGACCCTGTAAGACCAACATTAGTACATCTCATTAACAGTGAAACTACATTTAAGTGTACTAGCTAGTTTAGGAGGTGGTGACACACCTTCCCAACGCTAGTCGACGCATTCAAACACTCTGACACAAAACTAACAAGAACGACTAGAAGAAGTAGAAGAAGAAGAGGTGGAAGAAAGAAAAGCTGTACACGTAAGTGCTCATCAGCGTGGACACACCTACAATAAACACTGTTTAGTGGCCTGAATGCGTAGCTTTTTTCACCTAAAGTATCTCTTTTTAACGGTAGTTTATACACAACTAACTGATATTTACACAACATCGACAGAGTCCGAGTTCATCCCAGATTGTTCTCGTGAGCGAGTTCGTGTCCTGCGGAATCCGTGGTTCTGTTCCAATGCGCAACATTGGCAAAAAAAAAAGCAAGCGGAAGAAGAGTGTATTTACAAAGAGGTCCGTTACACTTCACCTTCAATATGAAGGTTTACTCTGAAGATATACTCGTGTTTATTTAAAGATATACATCATTTACGCTCGTACGGCCAGGGGATGGGACGCAGGCATACGGGATGTCCTTTGGCAACGTCAGCCATACCAAAATCGACAGGTAATGGAAGTGGGAAGCAGTGGCGAAAGAAGGTTTACAGCGGGAAAAAAAGAAGAGCGATACAACCTTGTAGAAAATGATGCGAGACGTCTCAGAATTGGAATAGCGTCGTGAAGATAACTAAAGCGGGATTACAATGATGAAAAGAGGACGAAAAGTGTCTGCTTCTCCAGTTTTCCCTGTAAATGCAGCCCAAAGACACAAACAGTCGACAAGTTAACAGACGTCCTGGGAGTTCCAATGGGTCTGGTCCTGTTCCGATCTCGTCTGTTGGATATGGGATAATGGTTCCTCTCCTGAAACACGTTCTCAGATCAGGATGATAGTCTCTATTCTGGCGCGCTCCGATGGGATTGGGCTCGCCCGCTGGTAATTCTTCCGCAAGCTGCCCGGCCCGTCGTCCGGCGCCCCCTGTAGTCATGCCAGCGCAGTGCCCGTCTGGCACTGAGACATCTGCAGGTGCATGGACTGAATGCTGTTGAGGATTTTTTTCTGATGGCCGGCTAGAGTCACACCTATCCTCAACAGGTCCCTGTGAACACAAGAATGCATACCTACAATTAATTTTCGACACACATACCAACGTACGTAGCTCTATACATACACGACACGCTGCTGTGAGGAAGACATGCTGCTGCTGTACAATATGGCGTACATGAATTACACGTAGCAGATCTTTACAGGTGGACATGGGGAAGGTGGAGGGTTTCTAAGGCAAATCCTGACTAAGAATTTGAAGGTTGAGCACACAACCTCATTGGCTACTGATCCAGCAGGAACCAATCAGTTGTGCCCTATTAATAATGATGTAATTGCAAGCAGGTTGAGTTAAGGAATTATTAGCTTGTGCCATCTAGTGTTTCATGACAGAACTTTACAGTAGATTTGATGTGCACTTTTGTAAAGAATCACACGAACGAAATTTATTTACTGTTTATTTGTACCTGACATCGTTATCACAACACTTTGCAATGTAAAGTATCTTATTGTAATAATATAGGAAATATATTAGTTCATATAATACTAGAAATACAAGTATTACTATGAATGAATAATGAGCAAATCGCAAAATATATCAACATTTACATTTTTCAACAGAACATATGAACACATTTTAATGAAGAAATAGCCATTTAAATACTTATATAATATAATTTCAAATATAAGTTAAACACCTGGAATTTTAGTCATCTGGAGGCAGCTTTATGATGATTTGACAATGTCATCGCCCACAAGCTCTTAAAATACTCAGTTTGAATGTAGATGTCTCTGCATATACTAATAATAAAAAGGTTGATCACTTTGCTATCACACCAATGCCTGTTGTCACTGTTCTTCATTATCATCTACGCTAATGAACATGGTTAATTACTATTACTCTGGCAGTGGTGCTGAAATACTCTAAAAGCAGATGGTACAAGAAAAGATTCACTCCCTAAGCTACTCTTGACAAGAACCTCTTCATGTTAGTAGAAAAAACCGTCAGCACACCAAAAGGCCAAGTAAGATCATGACGGGTCTGCTGCAGCATGTGATTTTAAGTGACCGTTTCATCGCCACCTCTAAAATTACAAAGACAAAAGAGCAACACTGAATTAACGCTCAATTTACTACGTTATTTTCAGAGAGAAGCTTCTGAATCTGAATGAGAACACCCCTGTACTATCAATATATGGACCATTCAAACAGCACAGAGAGAGAGAGAGGAACAGCACAGAGCCCCCACAGGTTTATAGATATGAGAGCAAACAGCATTAGCACATGAAAGCCACTTGCATTTAACTTTCTGTTTATGCGTGGGCTCACACTTATGTTGCTAATTAAGCACAGACCCTCTCTGTGAGCGCCGGCTGCATTAATCAGAGCGTCAGAGACGCTACACCTCACAGCCAGCTTCCTGCAACGAACAAACCATCAGGAGATGTGTTTTAAACATCATCAACAGCATATCCACCTGTTCGCTCGTTAGCGAATCAAACAAGTCAAAACACATGCCCACATACCTCACCGATACGCACTAATCCTACAGTACGGTTTAGAAATCGATTTTAAACAAGTTTGCGGAGATATCTGACCACCCCACATTCTGTGATCAATGCGCTGTCTGGAAATCTGAAACTAGCTTTAATCATCCTTCACACAGACAGAACTCACAGAGTATTAGACACCATCTAAAACAAACCAATAATATGACAGGACGGCTGAATAAGATGTATAACACATAATGATTTTTTAGAAATGTTGTTGTTAACAGTGTGATCTATGAAAGCCTGTTTCCAACTCAGAGTACAACACTTACCAGGAAAATGTTCGAGTTTCAAATAAGAAATAAAATAAGCAAATGTGAGATTAAAAGTTGTAATTATGAGAAATAAAGTTGTGGTTAGCTGGTTGACTATGACCTGTTGGTTGGGTCAATTTGACCAACTTGGAGCTGGGAGGCCATCTTGGATAAGTAAGTGAAGAACTGACTAGCCAAATCTCAAAACGCTTCCGAATGGTTGACCAGTTACAAGCTGATACGACCTGGTTTTAACCAGCAGCATAGAGCTTTAGTAACTATGATGAAAGCCTAATAAATCAAATAAATATACAAACTTTAGAAACTAGACTGATTATGCCCTGGTCCAAGCTGGTTTAGATGGTTGATTAGTAGCATGACCAGCTGATGGGGTCAATTTGACAATGTCAGTCAACTTTCTTAGAGCTGGTAGACCATGTTGGCTAAGCTGGTGTTAAGCTAGCTAACAACATTAAGACACTTCAGAATGGTTGATCAGTTACCTTAAGTTGGTAGACCAGGTTTTTGCAGCTTATTTAGAAACTGTGCTTTGGTATTAAAGGGTTAGTTCACCCAAAAATGAAAATTCTGTCAGTATTTACTCACCCTCATGTTGTTCCAACCCCGTAAGACCTTCGTTCATCTTCGGAGCACAAATTAAGATATTTAAGATATTAAGATCGCTCCTGCATACAGTCCATAGGCTTCTTGAGGGACTGGCTCTTGCTGTCCTCGAAAAGTCATTAAAGACATCGTTAAAATAGTCCAAGTGACTACAGGGGCTCAATCTTAAGTTTATCAAACGACGAGAACACTTTTGTGCCCAAAAAAACAACAAAAATAACGACTTTATTTCAACTATTCGTTTATTTCTCCCTCTGCGCGAGTCAGGTTACTACTTTAATGGCGTAAGCTTCTGTTATTGTACGTCACACGCATCACACACACATGACCAGCGTTGGCCAATAGTGAGCCTACGTGTGACGTAGCTCTACGCAATCACACTACGTTAACTGACTTACAGGCTCATGGAGAAGGAAGTGAATAGTTGAAATAAAGTCGTTATTTTTGTTGTTTTTTTGCGCACAAAAGTGTTCTCGTCGTTTCGTAAACTTAAGATTGAGCCCCTGTAGTCACTTGGACTATTTTAAGGATGTCTTTAATGACTTTTCGAGGACAGCAAGAGCCAGTACCTCAAGAAGCCTATGGACTGTATGCAGGAGCGATCTTAATATCTTAAATATCTTAATTTGTGTTCCAAAGATGAACGAAGGTCTTACGGGGTTGAAACAACATGAGGGTGAGTAAATACTGACAGAATTTTCATTTTTGGGTGAACTAACCCTTTAAGATGCGTTTTGGTCGATTAGATCACAAGTAGACGAGGCAGACACATTCCCATTTACACCTGGTGTTTTAAATCCATCTCTTTTGTCCACTTTCAACCACTTCTTTCCTGATTTCGAGGGGAGGGTCTATTGGTGGGTGAAAGGTTTTTTTTTTCCAGATCTTTCGATCTAATGGACAAAATTAACTTTTACAGTTAACAATTAACATATGAGCGTGTCTGGATCCGACAAAAAAACATAAACATTCATTTCTGCACTGAAAGTCGCAAGACCACACTGGATACTGTGAGTGCGTGAATGGTGATTCAACCAACTTTGGTCTTCAGCCATCAGAGTTTAAATCCTGTCTGGCTAGTGTGTTTCCCGTAATGTTTACGTATTAGACCAGTAGGCGAAGGGCAGGCAATATTTTGTAGGCTGTTTGAATACATTCGACCACATGAGCGATTACACTTCGAAAGCAATCGGGTCAATGTGTTTTCGACTACCTCTTGGAAGTGGTTGAAAGTGGACAAGCTGAATACGTTTAAGACCCCGCTTACAACTGTATATAGCGTCATCCACTTTTGATTACCAAAACACATCTTAATACCAGTTGTAAACAGGCAACACATTCTGATCCTAGGGCATCATATAGATGACGCTTTTGACATTGCGTCAAAATCCAATGCACATGGCACCATTTAGCGTCAATATAACATGCTTCGGTTATGGGTAGGTTTAGGTCTGGGGTAGTGTTAGGGTTAGACCACTAGGAGGTGCCTTTTGGCCCAAATATATCTGCGTCTCATATTGACGCTAAAGGGTGCCATGTGCGTCGGATGTAGACTCAATGTCAAAAGCGCCACCTATATGACGGATGGAGTCTTGCATAGAACCACAAAAAAGTTTGGATTGGCTGACCAGCTTGACTATCTAATGCCAAGATGACCTGTTGTTTTCAGGGTAGAGGTTAAGTAACAATAATGAAATGATTTGTAAAACACATCAAATTTTAAACTCACTCTGACGTCATCTGGGCTACCAGCTGTAGGGATGTGAAGCCAGAGTTGAGGAAGTTATCTCTGTACTGAGACATCTTGACAGCGACCAGCCAGTCCTCTACAGAACTAAAGGTGGTGAAGTCTGGGATGGACCTGTCCAACAACGGCTGGGACGGACTGAGAGTAAGAGGAGAAAGAGAGAGTGAGATGCAGGAGAGCATAGGAATCAAATGACCCAACATTGGGTGTCAGAGTTGCAGTCTCTGTAGAGACCAACACTGTGGGGGACTATCCTGTTTTTCCAAGTTTGAAAACAGCTGAATATGGGGAATAATTATGTCTTAATATCTTTATTATGTAAAAAATGCCTAAATGTTTAGGGTGTGTTTTTCTGGCTAGTCAATAGGATTTACATTATCATTCAAAAGTTTGAGATTGGTAAGACTTTTTAACGTTTTCGAACGTCTCTTGTATGCTCACCAAGACTGCATTTATTTGTTTTTTAAAAGAGTAAAAACAGTACTAATGTGAAATATTACTTCAATTTAAAATAACTGTTTTCTATTTTCATATATTGTAAAATATGACTGATTCAAGTGATGGCAAAATTCCATTTTCAGCATCATTAATCCAGTCTTCAGTGTCACATGATCCTTCAGAAATCAATCTTTCTAATATGCTGATTTGGTGATGTTGAAAACAGTTGTGCTGCATCATATTTTTTTGTGGAAACCTTTATAGTTTAAAAGTTTAAAAGAACACCATTTTCAGACATAGAAATCTTTTGTAACAATGTAAAAATTTGACTGCCACTTTTGATGAAATTAATATTAACCTTTTATTAACCTAATTTTAAGGTTCCCACATTGGTATAAAAATAAAATATGATGAGTTTGTTGGACTCACATAGTGGGTATGCTGGCAACTGCTTTAAGGCTGGTGGGATTGCGGATGAGTTTGTCGAGCGTATTGACAATATCTGTGAAGCGTGGCCGAGCGTTGCGATCTTTCTGCCAGCAGTCGAGCATCAGCTGGTGGAGAGCAGTGGGACAGTCCATGGGGGGCGGCAGCCTGTAATCCTGCTCTATGGCGTTGATCACCTACACACACACACACAGATATAGAATATTTTCATTAATTGCTTTGTTTTCATTTGTGGGGGAAGCATTAGTTTCATAGTGGATTCATAAACATGCTAATTAAAATTGTATAAGGGTAAAAACAGCAAATAAATTATTCGGTAACACTTCACACGCTAATAATCATTAGTTAAGCATGAGTAAACAGTTAATTCATCATTCATAAAGCAGTTTATAAACACAGCTATAAATGCTTTCTTCTTGATTTAAAAGCATATCTATAATTTGTTTCATGATAGTTTTTTCATACTTTATTAATGATCAATTTATCAATTCTAAATATAGTATTAAATTTTTTATGAACCAGTTATTTAAGAGTTGTCGGTGGTTCATAAGATTACTTAGAACGTGTAAATAAATGATTAATAAACTATTTAAATGTACATTTATACATCTTATTATTCAGACATATAGTGATGGTTAGTGTGTTAATAAATGCTTTATTAACATGTATTTATGCTGTAATTCAGGGTTAATTTGGTTAGTCATAAAGCATTTAGTGGTGGTCAGTTAACTATGTTTGTGAGCTCATCTAAAGTGAGGACTATTCATGCCTTGTAAAGCATTTATAAAGGAGATTTAAAGGCTGGTAAATATTTCTATGTTCTGTATCACTGTGTTGTGTTTGTTACATTTTACTGTTTAGAAGATTGATGCACCATTAAATCTCCTTTATAATACAATTATTAAATGCATTATAGATATGCTTATAAATCAAGAAAAAGGCATTTATAGCTGTAATTATAAACTGCTTATTAATGTCTATTAATGCTTTGCTTAACTAATGATTATTAGCGTGCAGTTATTATAAAGTGTTACCAATTAGGCTTAAGTAATAAATGATTACTAAGTAAATGTTGAACTAACTCATGACAAAGTGTCACTGAATGAATAATTGAACAAATATTTTGAGTCAAATCTTTTGCATGAACAACAAAACCGATTCATGCATCCAAATCACCATTGTAACAACTCTAAATGAACACATCAACTGTGTGTTCAGCAGAATACTAATTTTGTGTTCAGCAGAAGAAAGAATTTAATACAGGTTTGGAACAACTTGAGGGTGAGTAAATGAACTATCCCTTTAAATAATACCATGCCATAAAAAAAAGAAGAAAAAAAAAAAAAACAGATCCAAAGGCACACTATTGTTTTATCCCACATAAATACCCTCATATATCAGTTTTGCTGCATAGAAGCCACAACATGACACACAAACAACCAGTGAACATCATTAATCATTAATCTTTAACTGTGATCTGTCGTTGTACCCTCCTCAAACACTGGACTCTCTTCCCATATTCCTCCCTTACTGATTCTATCTGACACAAGCAAACATCAAATGAACAAACAAACATGGTCTATCCTCTGCATACCAATTCTGAGCTCTGGTTTACATAAACATGAATCTAAATATCTGAGGATCAATCAACTCTGCTCCCTCAGCGGCCGCTTTTCACCTAAACGGATTCCACAGGACGGCAGTGAGATGTGGGCTCTGAGCGCTCCAGATGTCCTGCTGTTTCATTATGCTGATATGATAGTTTTATGTTAATTTGGGATTGGATTATTGTTAAAAACTCTAGAATATCGAATACTGAAGTGTGTGATGGGTAGAAAAAACACCGTCCACCTCATTCACAACTTTACCCTTGGCGGTTCTTCTGCGTCTGAGAGGATAGGAGCTCTTTTGATTTGTTTTTGGTGCATGTCATGTGATGTTAAACACTTTGTAAAACAGCATTAGACAGCTTTATAGTCCTTCATAAGATGTTTTTTGTGAATCTCTAACAATATAATTTTCAATGGATATAATCTTTGGGAAAAGAAAGTACATGCAGATTATGTACAGAAAGTACATAGAGAGTCATTATTTTCTTTGAACTGAATGTTCTGAATCTTTGAATGCTCAATTTATATATTTTTTTTTTTTACAGTTGTGAGTTCGGGAGTTCCAGTCACAAGTTCCTCAGGGTTCGTTTTGCAGCTCTGATGTGTTAACTGGATGCTAAAAGGTTTGGGGAATTTATGTTTGCATTGGCAGGATTTGATTTTCTGAAAATACCAAGAGAGCCTGTGATGTATTCACAATACAAACAGAAAAAAAAAACAAAAACATTTTTGTCTGCACACATGCTGGAAGATTTCAATGCAGAGAGACTTTGAGGAAGGACTCAAAGCAGTGAACATTAAGAGCCAATGAGATTGAAAGGCAATGAGACTTAGGGAAGTCTCGGTGTTTGTCTCAGGGGTCTGAGAGCGATTTGCAATACACTTTATATACATCAAGAATGCATCATGAGGACCTACAGCTTCACTGTTCACATACATATTGCAAAAATCATTAGCCATCACAGGTTGCCAAAAAAGGTTATGATGACACGCAAGACGCAACAAGTTTAGTTGTAGTATTATTATATTATATTATATTATATTATATTATATTATATTATATTATATTATATTATATTATATTATATTATATTATATTATATTAATTATATTATATTATTAAATTAATCGAATCAAATAAAATGTTTTCTTATTATATATTATTTATATTATTTATAATAATATATTATATAATTTATAATATATAATTATTTTATTATTTATAATATAATATAATATAATATTATATTATTTTAATTATATTATATTATTAAATTATATTTAAAATGTCATAACAATACTAACAACAATAACAACACTACTAATACTACTACTAATAAAATTACCATTATCATTATTATTATTATTATTATTATTATTATTATTAAATACATATGAAAACATAATTATGTAATATAAAGTGGACAACGAATCACACAAAATGTTGTTTTCTTATTATATATTATTTATTATAATATATTATATAATTTATAATATATTATATAATTTATAATATATTTATTTTATAATATAATATAATATAATATAATATAATATAATATAATATAATATAATATAATATAATATAATATAATATAATATAATATAATATAATATAGGATTGCCTCGTTAAGAATCAGGGCAAGCGTGTCTCAAAGCCAGTTATAAACAGCAATTCCCTGTTCTGTATAAAATGTAAACTTACATCTTGGTTGCTCATGTCCCAGTAGGGCCTCTCGCCAAAAGACATCACCTCCCACATGACGATCCCGTAACTCCAGACGTCACTAGCAGAAGTGAACTTCCTGTATGCGATTGCTTCCGGTGAGGTCCATCTCACAGGGATCTTTCCACCCTGAGGAAAAAACAAAATACATGACATTTAAATGGGGAGCTGTCATGTGGATTGATTTTGTAGGATTTTACAGGAATCCATGTGACTCTACGTGACATTTATGTACACATAACCATCCAATAGAAAAATATATCACATTCACATGAACAACTGGGAAGTATGTTGTCTGAATAAAACAAGTAAGCAACAGGAAAGTATCGACTCACTGAAGTTCTCCATCCATTGCAGGTATAGATATTTGCAAACAATGGGGCGCATTTACATTTTTTAAAATTCAACATGGCTGAATTCAATTATTTTTGCTGTACAAAACACCATAAAAAATAGTACACACACAATAGTGAATGTGTGTGTGTGCGAGGAGGTCTAGTCTTGTCCATGGAGGGTGTCTGTCTGTAATTGGTCTACCTGAGGCTAGATTTGTGTCTCACTGATTAAAATTGACAGTGATTTGTTTCACCGTTGTTTCTGTTTCACCCGAAAGATTTACCTCACACACCTACTGTACACACACACACACACACACATACACACCTGGTTTGAGAAACCACATGCTTTATGTTCCAGTATACTGATGTCAATGAATTCAGTCCAGCAACTGACATCAACCAAACAGTGAATTTGTAGGTTTAGGCTTAAAAAGTGACAATAATAAAACTAATATTTTTTACATTTTATAAAGAAAATACGAGTGAGCATCCTAAATGTTTTTTAGCAAGTTGCAGTGTGGTTGTTTATTGTCTCTATGCATTCCGGTCTTTAGAAACGACTGGGGTCTCTAGAAGTTAAAGCTGCAGTTCGCAGTTTTTCCTCTTTGTCGCCATCTCTGTTCGAAATCTGCAATTGCAGTCATTCGCAGAATTATCAACTTTACGTGAGTTGTACTTTGACACAACACAGCGTGGATGAACACAATGTTTGAGGAGAATGTGCAGCTGTCAATCACCGTGCCGGTGTGGATCATAGACTGTGTGGAGACGCTTATCATTAATTAGTAAAACCGTTCAAATTATACTTTGTTTTCAAATTGTTAATGCTAACAATATCCGCATTGTGTGACTCATGTAATGTTCTTCCGATATTATCCTTGTTTTCGCATGGGCCGGTTTTCTGTTGCTGGCTTGCCGCTCCAAAGTCCAAACGAAGTCTTTTGCATTTTACAGCGGGTGAATCTCACATGTCACTGGTGATTGTCGTTTGAACCTTTCTGGATCCGCAATCAAATTGAAAAGTTTAATTATATCAAGTGCTGTGAGAAAGGATAAATCTCCACCTCCAACATCCTCACAATCAATAAAGCCTAACTTATATCCGGGACTCCTTCTTTATGTGTAGACGTGATGTAATGACGCAATCCTCGAATCTCCCGCGGAAATCACCACTGGAATTAAAAACATTATTACAAGCTTACCGCTTTGAATCGAGCTAAGGCAAGCAGATCGTGTTGAATACTGGCTGGTTATGTATTTTCTCAAATTTATTTTGGATTATTTTTAACCTCAAAAAGCTACGGACTACAGCTTTAATATAAGGGAATTTTCCAGCACCTTAGCCCACCTGATTTTCACTTTAAATGACAATTTAATGAAGTTTCAAAAAATAATCAAAGTGAATTGCAGAAGAGGAAAAATAAATTTGAATGATTGTGCATAATGTCTGCTTGTGGGTGGGGATATCTCATTTTAAATGCAACTCTCGCTCAGCGTCTTTACACTGTAAAAAAAAAAATTGTTGGTTTAACTTAAAAAAGTAAGTAACCTGGTTGCCTTAAAATTTTAAGTTGATTGAACTGGAAAAAGTGGGTTAATGCAATGGAGATTGATTTATTCATCAGAAACTCAAAATAAAAAGTTATCTCAACTGAATAAATTATTTAAGTTGTTTTGACAAAAGAAAAAATGATGTGATAACAAATCTTGAAAGTATTTTTTTTTTTACAGTGTATAATGGAAACAAGTATATGGAAGTACAACAACCCAACACAAGATTACATAATCTTGACATGTGAATGATAAAATGAAAAAAAAATAAAAAAAAATATATATATATATATATATATATATATATATATATATATATATATATATGCATGGAATTGGATGACTCTTTGTGCTTGAACTTTCTCCTGACCTTTGTGAATAGTGACCTGAAAGACTCAATTTCATCTTTATCGATTCCAATAAAAGACTGAAACAAACAACAGCCTTAAGGTCACCTTCACTTCACCTTCACTTCACGAGAGGTCTGTCACCATTACAGATGTAACAAATAAACACTGAGTTCAGGTTAGTGACAATTACTTCTACATTGAATCCATGCAGTGACCGAACTCCATTAATTGTAAATCCAAAAGCTGCACTGGTTTTCACCAATGAGAGTGTTTGAAAATAAATAGGTGAATCACTGAAAGTTGTAAAGTAAGCAAATACAAAACTTTTGTATATCATTTATGCAGCATTTGTTAGATATGAGCTGTTCATATATAGTTCTGTTTTTGATATGAGCAGCAGTCTGACAGAACAATGAAGATCTGTCCATCAGAGCGGTACATGCACACAGCAAACAACACTTGAACAACTGCAGAAGAAAGACGCACCACTTGTGTTTAATGTCCCAAACACAAACAATCTGCATTGGAAATGTGCCTGCATGAGGTAAGATGCAGCATCATTTTACAGTCGATCTGTGAAATATCTAAAAAGACAGAAGAGAAAAGAGACTGTCTGTCTATCTACTTTACAGTACTCAAGTGAGATTGATGAAAAAACATGAAGTAATGCAAAAATATAGAGTGGTGTAACACAAACCAAACACAAAACATATACAATGATATAAAATGACTCATACTTTGATAAAGGGTCCACCGCCCACCCCCATCTAACACTGATGTCAACAAACCAATGATGCAAATTTGATGAATACCAGATCACCTTGTGTCTAACTGCTTTTCAATTATAACCCGTGGCCATTCGCTTTCACGGATCTAATTTGCTTATATCTCCTTCACTTAGGCCTACATTAATTTCAAAAGTCCAAATTGTGCTGCAATAACATCAGCAGGCAAATCAGACGTCAGGGGAGCTGGTTCAGATAGCAGTAGGCTATCGGTGCGCATCTAACCTTTCGCCCTCTGTTCCCGGTCCCGTACTGCCCCGCCACCGCCCAGACACCCAACGGGGACAGTGCAAATTAAACCACGCTCACCTAATCCTTTATCATCCGTTCCCTTCAATTTCCCATCCAGGATTTTTAATATTAGATTATGACCTTGTCTTTCATAAGCAGGTTAAGTATTCTTTCTTCCCCCTCTCGCTCTTTCTTTTTCTTTTAAGAGTTTTTGAGCTTAAATGAAACAGCACTTGTACGCCACTGTGAACTGTTTTCACTGGGATCAAGTCTGTCACATGGCACTGTGCCCATGCTGCAGGTCAAAGGGCAGATTTCATGTTTAAATAATGACAGCCGAGGACAGCCGTGTGGTAAAATGGTGTTGATATCCTCCGTAACTTGCTAACCAATCTGCTCACAGTCAACATTTTACAAGAGAGGCAAGAGTCAAGGCTGCATAAACCCATGCAGGAAATTGAGACTGAATTGATAGTTCATATTGACTAAAATAAATCACCAAAAAATGCTGCAGCACAAATTACACACTAAAAGGGCAAACGACAGTTTTATAACTGCTTGTACATATTTTTGGGGTTAACTTGTAACTTGACCCCACTGTGGACATAGGGAATACCTGGAATTGAGCATCTTGTTGAGGAGAGGTATACAATTACTGTATTAGAGATAAAATCCCCAAAACATGCATTGAAGAAAACACACGGCATATTTAGGGACCCGAATATCATAGGGCTTCAAGAATCCACTCAGAACACCGTCACAACCACCCAACAACATCCTGGCAACCATCTAACAACTAGCTAGCAACATTGTAGCAACCACCCAGAACATCCAAGAAACCACTCACAACACTAGATCCAAGCACCCATCCATAAAACACTAACAACCACCCAGCGACATCTTGGCAACCAACCAGTGGTTGCTTGGATGTTGTTAGCTGTTGTGGGTGGTTGCTACAATGTTGCTAGTTGGTTTTTAGAACAGCCCGACTGATATGATGTTTTGGGGGCCGAGGCCAATACCGATATTAGGGAGTAAAAAAAAAGCCTAATATCGATATATCGGCTGATATCCCAGATAGCAAACTGACATTGAATCAACGTGGAAATATGACATCGAAACAACGTTGATCTGACATTTTGCTCATCGAATTAACGTTGAACCAACGTCAGATGCGTCATTCTTTCAAAACTAACGGAAAATAAACTTGAAATCAACGCGTTGTTTCAACGTTATGAAAGCAAACCAATTTTCGATTTCATTTAGCTTTGAAGAATGCCGCGTCTGACGTTGGTTCAACGTTAATTCGATGAGCAAATCAACGTTGTTTCAATGTCATGAGAGACGTCGTTTTCACGTTGATTCAATGTCAGTTTGCTGTCTGGGATTATATACGTAAATATTGAAATTTTAGCAATATTACTTGTGTATGTTATAGTAGTGTACCAGTCAAAAGTTTGGACACACTTTCCCATTTGTGTGTACAATTTTTTGACTGATACTGTATGTAGAATACAGTATATATAAACAGAATATAAACTGTTAAATATATATATAGTGACACATATATGTAAATATATATATAGAGTGACAAATATATGTAATGGAGGCAGGGTGAACGACAGTTTGTTGACAAACTAGTTTGTTTATATTCTGTATGATGTATAAATGTTCTCCTCTGTCTTTTTTATGTACAATGTTCTATTATATTCTAAATAGTGTTGCATAATCTTCACTAATGACTTTGTATTTTTTATTTAGTCACGTTATATAAAAAATAACTTGTATCAATAAATATATCAAAAGTGTCACTGGCAAAACCTTGTTATCTTCTATTATAGTCTTAACTCCTCTAGTCTCTATCAATGGAGGAA